ATTTATCTAATGACGTTGGAGTTTTTCGTCGCCATGTGAAAGACCTTCAGGATGAGATCACAGCCCTCCGAGGCGATATAATAGATATGGGACGGGATGACAGACGAGGTGATGGAAGGGGTGACGGAATGGGTCATTTTTGGGCGGATGATGCTACGTCAACTTCATTTTTTTATCCCCGGAGGAGGGTAGGTCGGAGGCAGTGGCCCCGAAGGAGGTGATGGTGGTGGGGTGCCCGAAGGAGATGTCCTCGGATGAGGGTAGGACGAAAGGAGTGACCCCGAAGGAGGTGGTGGTGGTGGGGAGGACAAATGCAGTGGCTTCGGAGGAGAGTAGGACGGAGGGGGTGGCCCCGGAAGAGTTGGTGGTGGTGGTGAGCCCAGAGGAGATGGCCCCAGAGGAGGGTAGGATGGAGGAGGTGGCCCCGGAGGAGGTGATGGTGGTGGGTAGGACAAAGGCAGTGGCCCTGGAGGAGGGTAGGACGGAGGGGGTGGCCTTGGAGGAGGTGGTGGTGGTGGGGAGCCCAGAGGAGATGGTGGTCCCCAAGGTGGAGGATTAGCGTACGCCTGAAGTGTCTGCGGGGAAAGTCGTGCCGTTGACGCCTCCGGAGCAGGTGGTCGGCAAGAGGGTCAGATTTCCTTCGCAGTACGTTGTTTCTCCCTTCACTGCTGAGGTAAAGAGGAGGACGTTCGTCGACGGGACGTACCTCAATCTGTTTTGGGAGGTGGACGCTGCCAAATGGAAAGCGTTCAAGACGGAGTGGAGGATAATTAAGTCCCGGTAAGTATTTTAGAATTTCAATGAACAATGCTACGCTAACTCATCTATATCTTTTTTAACATTTTTTTTTTCAGACATAGCCGTATCGTTGGGGAGAGGACGATCTCAGATGCCTATAAGTGGTTTCATGACATCACTACTTTCGGGTCGTGGCTCGCCGACGATGTCTGTTAAATAGTCATATTGTTGTTTATTATGTATATTATTTTTTTGTTTTATGAAATTAAATAGCTCCCTATGTTTTTTTATTGATGTTTTTTGATGTAGTACATTGACTTGACCATGAAATTATTGCGAGATCGAGTTCGACGATATTCGCGATCATTCGACATGCCCGGCCGACTCATACTGAGCACTGAGTTTTTTGGTGCTGTAACCATTGAGCATCAGTCACTGCAACGTATGGGTAGTAAGTACATGCTGCCGTATATATGGCCGAATGGGTCGTAGGGATGTTGTCGAGGCTCGGGGGAAAGGCATGGGAGGCTTGTACACATATACATGTTCCAGCAATCGTAAATCATCATACCATTATCGTGGAGATTGTTTTTGCTGACTCCACGATGTATGTATACGACTCCAACCATTTATAAGCAGTAGTTGGAGCCGTTTGCAGTGATCGTTCCGTTGATGGCTGCTCGAGCGGGTGTTATTGTTAATAATAGGGTAGCCATCGTGCGGGACCAGACGACGGCGAGACAGTCGAGATCGTAAGTATTTACATTTTGTTTTTAACTTGAAAACTTTGTTTTTTCTAACACGTTTATTATTTAATTGTATGAGCGATTGCGACATTTTTGCAATAAAGTATATTAAATTTTTGAGTGTAGGATATAAGGTTGATGGAATCAAGCAGACATGGATAAAAATTTGGAGGAATAAATTAGCGACGTTGTACATTTAATTGTTAATTCATTTATTTAATACTTGTAAATATTGTAAAATTTGTACATTGAATTTTATAATATTGTAAATTGAATTTTGTTCATTNAAAAATTGTATAATTTATTTTGTAATATTGTACATTTAATTGTGTTCATTTAATTCTTTATGATTTATATAATTTATATAATTAAATAAACAATTTTAATTTGGTAATTATGAAAATTAAATATTTTATTTTATCAAATTAGCAAATAAAGTTATGCTAAAATGATTATCCAAATATTGTTCATTTAATAGCAATACCATTACATACTCGACTAATTGTCATCTAGGGGAATCTGACTCGTACAAATTTGATGAGTATGGCCGACTGCTCTCCATCTACCGCACTTACGCAGTCGAGAAAACTCTCTAGCAGATGGTATTCCAGAAGTTCGTGGACGCCCAGGGCCACTCGGTTCAACTATCGGTGGCGACAAATTATTAAGTGGGATAATATGGTCAGGAACTTCCCAATTAGATTCGTTCGGTAATGGAAATATAGTCTCAGCATATGTAGCTCTCCAATAATCAGCCGTGTAATAATGAGAGCATAATGTTTTTGCTGCAAAATCTCTGTTCATAGATACCGCGACTGCATGCTCATATGGAAAACTCTCCAACTGAAATCGAGTACAAGTGCATGTGTTGTCAGTCAAGTCCACCATGTATGCCGATGACGTGCACATTGTTCGGAGAAGGGCGACTCGTCCAATGGTTCCACAATCAACCTCCTCACAACCCCTGCGACCTTGTACAATTTATCCTCTTGAGCCGGGGCTAGCTAGCTCAAGCAGTTCTGTGATTTCGTACGTCGGTCGTGAAACCACTGCTGCAGCTTCGTACGGATGTTCTCAATCATTGCGAGAATTAACAACTCTCGATCCTTCTTGAACAATAAATTCAGAGACTCCACGTTGTTCGACG